CTGTATCGCAACTCTGTATAACCACCCCGTATACAAGATACGTTATCTGGACTTATGTGTCTTACTTATCCCTCACTACCTTAGTCAACGAAGAACCCGATCCTCAGGTAGAGCTTATATAATGAGTTCAATGTCTTGAGCGCATCCTCGGACATTTGCATAACATGAATAGGAATAAATCTACGGGGCTAACTGGCAACTTTTGTGTAACATCGATCTAATAAACTTCATGGTTAACTCATAGCAGGTATGAAAAAATGGACAAATAACTCAATGGTTATATCATAGCAGGTATGAAACACCAAAATCCCTGTTAAGACAACTTTTAATCACCGACGCCTAACAACCAACTCGCTATTCAAAATAAAACCGTTATCTCTTACCACACCAGTTTCGACCGACCTAGCTGCGAATAATCTCATCACCATATAAAAACAGGCTTTTAACTTCACCTACAACATATCCTCCCAACCTGCACAATTTCGTAAAGATACAGTACACTTATATATTCATAAATGTCAACTACACATTTCTTCCGTTCTCCATGCACCCAAATCACCTCGGGTGCGAGCAGCAATACCCTACACTTCTATAAATCTATACAAATAGTAAAAAACTTATCACAAAGGCACATGCATCTAAATTGAAAACTTTTTTACGTCTCTGAACCATAAATATTGTACCTGGGTAAATTTGCTTAAATCACGTGCACACAGAAAATTTAAATGCATAAAAACGCCGTATAAATACATTATATCATCGTTGAAAAAGTTTCGTAGACAAGTTCCGTCATCATTTTCAGAGACCAACTCCGTAAATTTAAGAAAAATACAAGTAAAATCAGTTAGTAAAATCAAAGTATACTCGAATATTATTAAAATCTGTCATACGTGCACTGAACCGACGCCGTAAGCTCGATGTACAGTAGTACACGGCCAAACTTTTCCTGAACCAATACGAAAAAATTCAGCCGGTGTTACAGTGCTGCAAAAATTTATTTTATATTATATAATGTCGCCAACCTATTCACAGCAACACCATCACAGCATCACCACCACAACAACACCATCACAGCAACACCATCACAGCAACACCATCACAGCAACACCATCACAGCCCCCCACTGGTGGGGGTGCGTCAACCCCCGCGCTTCCTGGGGGGGAGGGAGGGGAAGGCATAGAAATATGATTTAAACATTTTAATCATATTTCTAAACATTATTAAAATAATAAAAATAATCATATTTCCAAAAGATTGATGATAAAAATAATATTTTTATAACATAAATAATAAATTGAACAATAAATACTGTCCAAGTAGAGGCACACAAGTAAGAGAGCTCACTTAGCAGCCAAACTGTGTCAAATTGACCCACACGAGGACAAAGTCTCACTCACTTTAATGAGTGTACATCAGTGGGTGGGCTCAAGGCTGGGCCCACATTTTAATCTAATTATTAGTGAATAGTGAGGCTCCTTAACAACAACAACAACAGCAACAGCAGCAACAACAACAACGAAGCACGTGGCCTCGCTGCGTCGTCATGGCAACGCGATCCTCTGACGCCATCTTGGCCTTGGCTTCTGCTTTAAAATTTTACAATTTTTGCTTCGTCCTTCATTCCATAAAAATATCCAATTATTGCATATAACTAAATGATATTATTATGAACCACAACAGTAAAATATATGTATATTTTATTAGATGCTGCTGGCACATACGAATCTATCCTATTCAATTAAATTTACACATAAATAAATTTGTTTACATAATTTCTCTATTGGCAAATTTAAAAAAAAAGAGTTTCCCCTCAAAAATCACCCACTCACCCCCCTTTCCTACTCACAATGATGTTGATGACGAGCTTGCCTCCCCCCGCCACCCCCGCGTGGTGGGTGAGGGAGAGGGTGAGCTGGCCGCTGGCGTGGGGGAGGGGGGGCAGGGGGAGGTGGG